GCTGCACTAGTATCGCAGAGGTCAGTGGTTCGAATCCCGTACAGGCCTGAATTTTTTCAAGTCTGATTTTCACTATTTCTTAAATAGTGCTCTTTACTGCGAGGATCGTGCACAAATGTGAGTTTAAAGTGCATGACAAAATACTCATGGAACAACTTTGTCATGTTGATTTAAAACTTTTCCTTGTCATTGGATACAGTGCTTTGTTTCTACTGTTGTTTTGTCCCATGAGCATTTTGTCATAAACTTGAAATTCAGCTTTGTACTTTGTATAAGTTAGAACTGAAGATGACAGAAGAACAATCGAAACATTTTTTTAAAAAATGTCGTATATTTTCTTAAATTTGTGACATATCTGCTCTTATCCAGACCATTAGAACATCAGAGACTGCCACCTGAAGGGATCTCATGACCTGTGATCTGGTACTGAACAGACACACGGACACATGAAATCTAGTCACGAATAACATTACCTCCTTGTGTGATTTATGACCAGCTGAGAATGAGCGAAAGTCACGAGAAATGCCTACCCCCCATAATTGCAGTATCTCTAAAGAAGCTGCATGTATGGAATTGTCTCTTCATTCGTTGAAAATTTCGCTATTTGGAATGAAACTTGAAAATAAGAATAGGAAAGAGTTAGCAAATATGGTAGGGGTAAGAATAGACGAGAGTTGGCAAATCCCGAAGGGGTAACTGCAGACGAAAGCTGGCAAATCCCAAAGGGGTAAGAACAGACGAGAGCTGGCAAATCCCGAAGGGGTAAGAACAGACGAGAGTTGGCAAATACCGTACGGGTAGGAATAGGCGAGAGTTAGCAAATTCCGAAGGGGTAAGAATTAAACAAATGGAAAAAGGATGGAGAAGATTATCAAGAATTTCGATAAATGATCTTGAGAAACTCGAGTCGAATCTACACAGGCCGTGAAAACAGCTCTCCTGCCTGTGGTAAGCAATCAAGGCACTCATGTGACTAACGAACTTTTCACGTGTCACTCTTATGTCAAACTCATCCAGAGGACAGAACAGAAAAAAGTCACATGCAACACTTCTCTGCTCTTTCTGTGCAACGTGCAAACATTTTCCTGAGGTGGAATTGATTGTATTTCTCTATTCTTTTTGGAAAAGCTCCGCATGTCTCCATACTCCTCCTGCGCTCTCATTTCACATTGCTTTACCTTTACTTAGAGTTTTGATGAAATCCTGTCCCAACGTGGGAAGTTCTCTCTCGTTTGTTACGTTTTTGTCTACTGTTGACTTGTATGTTTTTCCATCCACCTGTTCTTCGCTTGGGACCAAGCCACACTCGTCATCGACCGATGACCATAACTGTCCCCACCCACACCCTCTCCCTGTTGCTTATAAATGCAATTGTTTCATCCTTGCCACATGTTCCGCCCCACGTATCTGTCGCACGTCCCCTCAGCGCGTTTTACACGTGATGTCTCTGTCACGTGTGCCTCGTGTCAACATTGCATCATGACCTCTTCATCTGCCTAACCGAAGGAGAAATTTTTCCGTGCACATCCTCTGCCCGGGTCGTTTGTGAGGTGTTGTTGAGCAAGGCTCTTTGCTTTCGTTGTGTCGCACTCCATACATAAATGGGTAACCTGGGTGGTACCATTTAGGGTAACCAGCTTGGGACTCCCCTTGTAAGGGGTGTCGAAGCGGATACGTGACTAACCTCCGGCGCAGTCGGCTCCATGGTGTGGGTGACGACATTTATCTCTGTCTTCAGGTTTTTTCCGTTTTAACAATGCAAATACTTGGGAACATACTGTGCGAAACCTGATTGTCATACAAATACAATGCTCTCCCTGATCTTTCGCATGCAAGAGATGAAGTGATTTAAACGTGATGCCATTTGGCTCGGTATTAATGTTTTTCAAGGTGTTGGCGGGATTCCTCGCGATGTGGACCTGTTGTTCACTCACGTGTTTCCGCTGGGACTCGCGCTTCATCCTCGCGCGTGGTTTGCAACCAGTGGACGTTTTGAGAAAGCCCTCTATGCTAAGGAACAAGGGTGACATTTTAACATTTTTCGATGGCTGGTTAAACAAGTTTGCGTCGAAACAATTTGACCCCCATTATAATCTGATCCCCCTCAAACTAAAATATCTCCCAGAAAGCGAAAGCAATGCCTCGACAGTGATTAAGTGCCGATGTTGAGTGCCTTTCGATTGCATGCGAATTGATGTACTTAATTTCCAAGGTCAGGTGGGAATCCCAGACAACAGCAATGACACATTGTTTCCAAAAGCGTGAAATTCTGGAAATAGAAAATGCTGCTATCTTGAAATACTCAATAAAAGAAATTGACCCAAGGTAATACGGGAGGTTTAAAGTGGATTAAACAGATTAGACATTTATCTTCCCTTGTGTGGTGGGTTTTGTGTTCAGTGTTTTTGTTACCTGGTGTGGTTGGATCCTCTTAATCCTTAGAACCTTGTTTATTTACTTATCATTCGAAACTGTGGTTCAGATTTTGGAGATTTGTGCGATAAACCCAGAACCATAGCCTAATTTTTCCACAGCCCAGATTTGGAGCCTTATCTTTATCAGACAATAGAAAGGCGCAAGTGAACTTGACCCCCAGACAGGCTTCCTTAGCTTATCGCGTTTGCATAATTTTTTATTGTCTAAAACCTTGTCTGACCTAAGGAGGGTTTGCGTCGATTTTTTGAATTTGCCTTTGAGACGGAAGCATTAAACAGCCACAAATCAAACTTGCTATCAAGCAAAATGTTCAACAAGGTGATATTTTTGCCATGTTTGAAGATATATCCGTGTATACAAAGTTCATGATTGTAAGAGTAAAGACTAGATCTTGTACGAAGTGTTTCAATAAAGGTAGCTTTCATTTGTCTAATCCATGGCTACTCTTGTGGCACGCTTCCGACTGCGAGGTGTCGGGTTACCTCACGTTTGAAGTACTCATTTGCAAAGTACATTTTAATCCATTCTTATCTTCAATCCGGGAGAGCAGATGTTGAAAGATCTGCTTGAAGTTGTTAGTTTTCCAGTACGAACGCCTTGGTACCAACCTTTACAGTTTTGTTTCTAGACATTTACATTTGACCCTCTCTACTTTTGGCGCGCTTCTTGTGTCTGTCTGATGGATGAAGTAGATATTAATAGGATTCATTAATTTGATTGCCATTATGTGAATTTGGAATTTCCGGTGTTGGACGCAACAGTGTCTCATTTTTCCGCTAATAGCCGGATGTTCTTGTTAATCAAGGGGCGTTTGAAATTTCCGATCAGACTCGATTAGGAAATTAATGCGAAATTTTATGCCGCGGTCAAGTTGCAGGTGTTCATTGCTGCCAAGGTCTATTTAAACAATAGAGTGTTTCTGTCGAGGAACTATCGGCTGATAGTTGCCACGCGGAAATTTGATATTCTTAAAACAAATATGCTAGTTTCAAGAACCTCAAATTTCCAAGGGGCAACTATCAGATCGGTAGTTCCGAGACACAAACACTCTATTGTTTTTATTGTTCACCACTAAATTTTCTTCCGCGCCCACAGCTTGTCACAAATGTCAATAATTGGCAACCGTACATTGGCTAAATAATACGTTATACCTGTTAGAATTGAAAAGTCACTGTTTTTCCGATCTACCTAACTTCGCGGCCGTCAAACTATTCAAAACTTTTCACGGATGAGTACTATCAATCCAGGTATTTTCCGCGGACGGGCACTCTTCATCCGGGTATTTTCCGCGGGCGGGCACTATCCATCCGGGTATTTTCCGCGGGCGGGTACTATGAGCTGATAGTGTCTCTCCACGGATGAACACTATCGCGTCACGTGATCGATTTAAACCAATAAGAACCGGAGAAAATTTAGTGGTGAACTATAACATGGGATATGAGTAGACTAGGGTACCCAACCCTTAGATGCCTCACCCTCTCGCTAGTTTCTGTGCCCAACTTGTTATAAGCAACGTAGTATATCAGCTTTGTTTACAGATATTTTTGAAATATTTGTGGTGTGAACAATTTATTTAGCAGCTAATCGCACGGAATTTTCAGTTGTGGCTAATTCTGGTGTATCCTTCATTGACGCAAATAGACAGTGGTCAAAAAGCAAACGGCAATTTTTCAATCTCATATTTGTGTCGTAAATATTGAAACAATCTCTGGGATTTCTGTTATTGTCAATCACCTGTTGTGACGTAGATAGTTCATCTTATTCAAACCGCAAGACGTGGTTAATTTCCGCCCATGGTCTAATTTCTTGTGGTCTTGGGGCTGCATGCCCGATTTCCTGTAAATGTCTCAAGCAATAAAAATTCAAGATTATTATTATTATTACTATTGTTATTATTATTGTTAAGATAATCACGGTCATTATTATTATAATACTAGTTGAGCGATTATAATAGACGAATATAAGATGTGTTACAACAAGCATGCTTAGTAAGGGAAGTCACTGGAAGGTCCGCTTGGTTTTGATCTCAAATTTAATCTCCAGTGAAAGACAACCATCCTTGACTGACTGTCCGATCAAAAACTTCAGCCATCGGAACTGATATATCTGGTCGAAATCCGTGAGCCAGTGGGAACAAACCGCTTTAGTTCATGCAAATGAAGTAGCGTGTAAAAATCGGCAGTGAGAGCTTAATGGGAACCTTTTGTAGCCAAGCGAAAGGACTGCGAGGGAACCGAGCCACACATGAAACCGATTGGCTTGTTATTCGTTGAGTTTTGTTCTTCACATATTTTTTTTCTCTTTTCTAAACAAAAAATCACCCTTGCCCAACTCTCTGTGTTATTCTTGCCTCTGTTCTGTACTACTCATTAGTCTAAGTGTAAAGTCTTGCATTTTTATCACATTAGCTTTTCTCTTTACACTTCTTTGCCTTTTTCATTTTTTAGTAAACGCAGCAGTAGTGCAACCGATCTCCACCTCTACAGCCCTAAACCCTTCCGAACCCACAGACCAGAACAATTCCGCCTCTACAGCCTCGGAGATTCTGAACGCAGACTCAGTCAAACCAACCACCAGTTTCACGTCGCACAAAAACAAACTGCAAGAATACTGCCAGAAGTCCAAGATAGAACTACCTGTTTACTTCTGTCACAGAGAAAATGGCGTCTTTACTTGTACAGTTCATGTTGCAGGGCGGTCATATTCCAGTAACGGCTGTAATACTAAGAAAGGCTCAGAACAGACTGCGGCCAACGTAGCGCTGAAAGCTTTGGGACTTGTTTAACGCGGTTGGCACCGAGTTTTGATGTGTTTTTATTGTGGTCGTAGTCGAAGTTTGGGCACAGGAAGGCACAAGGTATGAAAAATAACTTAAGACCATGATGGAGATTCTTTGATATTCATTACCTTGGTGTTAATGGGTCGTAAGAGGCGTTGGTCAGTTTTGACTTCCAAGAAGTGAATGTCTATGAAGTCACTCGCGCTTTGTTCGGGCGTCATGTTGGACATAGCAGTTGCCAACTTCAGAAGTCTTCCAAGGACTTCTGGCACAACGCCCGGAGTGTATCAGGTTCGCTTGTGTTTACAGTCGGTCACCAACCTGGCGCCCGAATGAGATGTCATAGCATCAGGGATTACCTTGTCGTTTTGCGCTACTCTGAAGCTAAATGACTACGTTTCTTGTAGAATTTTGTTTGGATTTTTTAAGCGTAGCATTAGACAGAAGCACTTGTCATTTAACATTTGCGGGACTATGATCGCACTAAGTAGCATTTTTATGAGAAATTCCGTGAACTAATGTAACTTAGGCTGCCACTGTTACATCGGTCGTGTCATGCATGACAAGAAACTGACATACAAAAACTTTTGCATTGGTTGTAGTTTTATTATTGTTTCACTGTGTCTATGATATTGTGACACCTCGAACGGTCAACTGTAAGGTAGTGCACAGATTGTTGTCTTACGCCATGTTGTTTTGGTCGTGGAGAGGACAGTCGTGCTTAACAATTGAGGGTTTTAAAATCGTCGACAGTTTGCTTGACTTTCTTAAAATATTATCTTATCACTATCGTTTTCATGGAAGTAATGTGAGAACCAGGTGTTTTAATGCTTTTAGATTGGCTTAATGTTAAATGTACTAATAAGAAAATCAAATGAAGTTGTATTTCTTGTATTTTTCGAAGAACCGGTGAAAGTTGGGAAACTCTTGTCGTCGAGAGTTGTAACCATGCTAGTTGTTGTAAATAAATCCAGAAGAGTTTGGAATCCTGTGTAGCGAGTAACTTCGGATCCGGGAGTTTTGTGTATTATGGCGCCTACTCGCGCGTTTTCGCGCACGGCGCGCACGGCAAGCCGTACACTCGAAACGAGTCGATTAATACGAGTCTTCGGTATTGCCTAGAAAAAATGTTAACTTCGTAACTAAATGAACTCAGATTTGTTCCTTTTGTACGATGTTCATGACAAGTGTGTTGTAACAAATTCTTCTTCATTCGACGATCGAGCATATAATTTACTCATTAATTTTACCTTTTCTTAAAATAATTTTCCTTCACTTCTTTCACTTTTAGGCAAAAATTTGTTTTCACCTTGACCGAGTGCATGGTGTAGAAAGTGCTTGATCCTATCATACAACGAATGTGTGACAACTATAATTAAAAATTGGTCTTCGTTTGAGATGAATTTATAGCTTACCATGCAAATTTTATTATCAATTTAAATCACGTGTAATTTTAATGGTTATAAACGACTTTGACTAGGTTAAAATGAAAATATTTGTTCACCTTCTGTTTTCTCAAAGAAAACCGAATTTCGTCAACCGAGGGGAAGTGACGCACCTTTGGACAATGAGGACAACCGCGTGCTTTTTTAAACGCATTGTTTTTTTTTTTCTTGTTTGCGTGAAATGCATTGTATGCCAAAGGTACAAACTTCGTGACGACAAGGCATCACGGCGTGCATTGCCCACGCTGTTTTGATCCAGATTTTTTTTTTCGTTTATCAAGGTGGGAAGTTCGTTTTTCCTCCTGAAAGAAAAATTCATGTTCCACCTCTCCTATTTATGACAAGAATCATTTCAAGAATAAAAACAGAACATAGCCAGTTTCACAGAAACCATGTCGTTCTTTTGTACTCTTGCTCCGACTGTCAAGTGAACCGTTTACACCGTCAAAACTCGACAAGCAAACTTTTCATTGGTCACTTTCTGCCATTCAAATCTCGTTGTATGTTTATTCATTTGTTACCATTCTCAGGAACACACTGGTGAACTCTGGTTGACACTAACATGTTATACTTCCATCCGGCAGATTTTTTTATCTGTGTGTTGCAAAGGATGAAGATATTTGCCCTGTTTTGACCCCTTTCGATTCTATGTACTTTTCTGTGTTACCTTTATAAACTCTCTCTTTAAGCTCTGAAATTTCTTTACGAATTACTGTTGTCTAATCGTTTGTTTAATGGTAATCTTTTTCGAGCTCTCACTTTTTGAACACTTAGAATCACATGCATCAAGGGTCAAATTGAAAGAATTTTGAAAAAAATCGATTTAAATATCATTGACCATTTTTCGTACAAATTCGTGGCAACTGCAAATAATTAATAAAACACTCAGTAGCTTTATTGTGTGAATTGCTCTGAACATAAATAACAAAAAACTTCATTTAAGAATTTACGTTCTTTAACAAACCTTTTTGTAACGAGGTGCAACCTTTGTTCTTAGCTTAACAGTTTGATGTTTTTGTTTTAAATTAACCTATACATTGCAGCAGTTGTTTGTTAACTTTGTACCAATCTTGTTAACTTGTAGACTCGTTGACATTTTTAGTCAGTTCGTGCCATTGTTCCGCCCACGGACAAGGTAAATATAAACTTTAATAGCTTCCACTTAGCCATAGTTTTGGCCATCATTGGGAGCTACGGACAAAATTATCGAGTTTGTCTAATTACATATTTACGTGATCGCTCGCAAAGGTGAAAGAGCCAAAACCAAACACTAATTGTTTCAAGGGATGTCTCAAGGATGTGTAAATTTCACAGAAAGAATAAAAAAGAATGAAAGAATTCTGTAGCCGTAAAATCTTCGCAATACGAGTCGAAGCGATAACTTTTCGTAACCCGACGGTGGCACGCGCCCGTGAGACCAGACGCGTGGCGGGGGGGGGGGAAGGTGGTTGTCCATGTTCTAGGGTCATGTTTGGCACGCGTCCTGTACACTACCAGGATCACCAGATCAAGTGCACTGCGTGCAAAGAAGACAATAGAAATGTTTAATTCTTTTATCGAGACTTGTAATAAAGTTTGAACCTTGAGGGCGGACAGTGATGACCAAATTGCTTTCCTAAGATGACGCAGACGCAGACACTTACTTGCGTTTGTTTTTAAACGCGTCGAGAGCTAAATAGTAATTACCTAGAATGGTTTTTTAGATGAGCTTTGAAACCTTTTGAGGAAATTGTGCGTGTTTTATTTAAGGTTACCTTTTCAATACCCAAGTACATGTGGGTTTATCATGAATGGACCATGTGTCACACATGAAGTTCTACGTGGTTCCTTTGTGTCTTTGTCTCCAAATGTGTGGTAGTGGGGAGGGGAGGGGAAGGTCAACACACCCTTTCCCACCCTACTACCCTACTCAAACAGTAAAGGGAATGTAAGCGTTGTCTTCAGTTCGTCTTTCCGAGTGATTTTTGCACTTTGAAATCCCAGCTCAGTCCAGTACATTCCAGTGTGTTCATTGTGTCATGTGGAGTCTTGTACACGAGGAGGTCATGATTAGCCCAACTTGATTTCTTCTTCTCGAGGTCGACCCGCTCAGTTTCTTCCCAAAAATTACACAACATTGGGGTCAATTCAGTCGCATCGCTATGGGTAAATATGTATTTCAACATAGAATCGATACAAAATCTGAATCAAAATTGTGTTGCAATTGTGACGGTTGCGAAGCAAGTTGAACGATAAATCGCACATGTTGTAGTCTCGCTCGCATTTATAACCTGGTGTGAGCCATTTTCCTTTCTGGTAGATCTCATTTTTTATGTGTTAAACTTGAAACTCGGTTAAAAATTTACCATTAATGTCGTTGAAATTAATGTCACTCGTTTTATTTCCTCTAGATTTCAGTGTAGAAAAGGTGAATGAATTGGTCTGTTTTCGTTAAGATGGAGGATGGGCGTTAGTCTCCGTCCTTAGGTAACTTGTGTAGTTTTTTTCGTCGAAACACTTTTTTAGATTAGTAATGTAACAGGCATTTACACCACGGTTGTATTTCGTATGTTTCGTGAGAAATTCGTTTTGAGGGGAGGAACCTTCGTCAAATATTCTTGAAATACTCAGGTTATGTCGCTTTTTGTTAACTATCGGGAATTCCCGAAACCTTCTGAACAAAAATTCGAACGGCAGTGGCAACGCTTCGCCATCCTCATGAAAGAAAACTTACACACTCCCCCTTTTCGCACCGCCTCCGCTCCGGATAGAAGAACATCAAGTGCTGCCGATAAAAATGAAGTTTTGTCAAATGAGTTGGAAGTTAGGCGTGGGTGACAGATCAGTAGTTTTGACAGGAATATTTTGATATTCTTTTGCCTTGCTTATTACCTTGGAAACAGATGAACTTGGAGTTCTTGGTAACCCAGTGAATTTACTGCATTCTGAAAATGAATGAATGAATTAAACCGACTTGGGTAACAGAAAAAAAAAACTGTTTCCAGTTGTGTAAGATGTGAATTGTTGCTGAAATAGTGAGGGCGTAAGAAACTTATTTGTGTTTTGTGTGGTAGCTGAGAAAAATGTAAAAACATGTTCAGAGACAAGCAACATCTGAGCAAAGTTTAAAATGTCAGCGTCCGAAAAGTATCCTAAAATTAGTATTTATCGAGTGAGTTGGTGACGTTCGGCCTTTCTTTGAAAGTGTCCTCGTAAGTACTCTCTATTTTCCTTTGAACTTTTGCGTGTCACCTCAAAACAAACCGGTTTTGTTTTCCCTCGTTGGTAAACAGCGCACTTAATTTATTCAAGAGCTGTTTTCCTGAAGGAAGTTAAAACCTAACGACCCGATCTCTGAAAGAAAAATCGGCGCTTTTATTAAGCTCTTGCAAATGATCTTTGCATCTTTGAGTTTCCAGCCAGGCCAAAGTTATATGTCACCGAAGGACATAGTGTCTGGTAGATCAGTTTTTCTTTTTCTTCTCAGCGACGCTAACTGTTATTAAGTCGCACTACAGGAAGACTATTGTCACATAAGATTTATATGTTCCTCTTAATCGTTCAGTGTCTGGTCCTAATTTCTGACGCTCATACGAGTTAAATTTGGTTTATAATTATAACATAGAGGTTCTCTTTTTTTCAAATCCTTTTGAAATTAACCTTGGTGGACATTCTGTTCCTTGGTCGTCAGCGTAGAAAAGAAAAGTGTCTAGTTAATCTTCTTTGTTTTTTGAGTAGTATCTCAACACTCCTATCACTGATGTCGACAGCTCACATGTGAAAGGTAAAGAATTCTTTTTGTGGGCTCCTTTTTAACAGTTGAAAATATTGAATGCCCTTAACTACAAGAGCAAATTTTTTGGTTTTTTTTTGGTGCGTTCTAATAAGGCTGTTTTAGATTTTAAAGAAAGAATTATTTCGTACGAATCACAACTTCTTATATTTGTTTAGCTTTACAGGCGGATTTATTGAACTAATGGTAACTCGAGGTTACGAACTTGTTGATGAAACATTCCGCATTGGTGATTCATTTTAAGGCTGAGAAAAAAAATACACTAGATGTCTGATTTTTTTTTTTTTCCGGCTCTCTAGAAAAGCGTATTCGATAATTTATTCGAAACAGAGTTTTAATGTCACAACTTCACTCTGTTTTAAGGAAAGTATTCGGTTAAACAATTCGTTCAGATTGGTTTTTCATGGCCAAGTCTCATCTGGCGTAATGAATGATCATAAGTTCTTCTTCTTCTTCAAAACATCTCGTATGTAAATTGACGTTGGGGTTTTAAGGCACTGAATTTTTCGGTTTTGTCTACGAGCAAAAATGGTGTCTTCGAACTGGAGATGATTTTGACAGTTTTGCGCTCGATCAGAGGTGTCGATGTAATATCGGTGTACACCAATGTACCACACTACTGCTCAAAGAGCCTTTTCTATAATTTAATCTTTAAAAACACTATTGAATATCGTTGTTGTTTCAAGAGGGAATTTAGAGATCGTAAACACCCTCATCGCGGGGAATATCAGAAACTGTAGCATTTAATCTTACAAGAAAAATGATATGATGATCCAGATGAAGACAATTCCGACAGCTAGCTATTTCCGTCCGTCATCAGTGGTGAGAAGTTAGTTTTTAAATTGTAATTAATCAGTATATTTCTTGAATATTGCTATATTTCGCCCGTAACTCAGAGGTGCGTGTTAAGTGTTGGAAAGATTGCGTGCGTAAAATTTTATGGAAATTTTCTCGAGAAGCTAATATAGCAGTTATGAAGTTCGCGTGAATTCAGAGAATGTTTCCTTCTTTAAGGATCTATATTTACGCGCTTTTTTGTTTGGCAGGATTAGAGAATGAAAAGCTTTTAAAAGTATCATCGTAGCGGCTTTCTGTTAAATGTCGATTCCTGATCATTTGAAATCCGTGTGTGTATGTTTTAGCGTGGGTTGTTCCACAGGCGTTATAGTTGGTCAAACTGCTCGAGTATTGTGCCAATGACGCGAAGATATGCTTCGGCTTACAAACATAACTTTTCTAGAAACTACTGTTTTAATTTTTTTTCCCCTATCGGAAATGGCTCTATAAGTATTAGTTTGTTTTACTTACTTGCCTTACATATTACCAACGCAATGTGTCTCGCTTTGCGCTTAAAGAGAAGTTGTATTCGAATCAATATCTATTCCAATTCCTGGTCGCTGCAAGTGTTATGACAGAAATTGTGGGATTTTCGCTTATTTATCGGGTAACGTTCTTAAAAACCTGTGATAATAGGTGTTACCTACCACTGCACTTAATCTCCCTCAAAAAACTGTTAAAAAAGCATTAGAAACAATAGTTTCAAGGCCTGTTCCTCCTAAGAATTCTTCAGCAACAACAATTCACTCTGTGCACGAAGCACATCCTCTAGGATTTTTGAGCAACCAGTTGAAAATAAAATTTAAGAATAATAGTAAAGCTTTATTAGAAATTTCAAGGTGAGAATGCGATATAAAAAGAGCACAAGTGACTGCTGTACGTGTTGTTAAAAAAACGGTGGTTGTTTTTATGCAAGATTAAGGTGGATATGCGCCTATTCTGGCATCGGACCAGTTGTGGGCCAGTTCAGGTAAGTGATGTGATAAACATAGACACTCGCCCTTGTTCTATCTGTCAAATTTTACTAACATCATCAGCGCCAGAAAGGCCAATTAAAATTTAAAAGCGTCGTTTGTGAGAAAACAGCTCGAAGCCCGTCATTAGGCGTTCTTTTCGTAAACGCGCCAAAGTTATTTATTCTTAAATAGCGGAGAGGGCAACTCCGTTGCCTGGGTTAAAAACTCGTCTCTAGCGTGAAAAACTGTGTTACTCAGAATTCACTCAAGCGTGGTAATTATTCCAAAGCCACGTGGCATGTGGGCCAGCCCCCGTTTCTTCTTTCGGCCAATCAGCGTCCAGCGTTTGCCGGTATCTTTAGTGACATGTGACTAGACCCGGCTGGTTTTCTGCTCCCACTCACACTTACTCAAGAACAACATTTCATTGATTCGTTCCCTGTGCAAGGGAAAACATGGGCTCTCCCGAGCATTTGGTGTGTTTTCACTGCACTGTCACAAGATTGCCGTCAGGGGAATCGGACGCCGAAGAGGAAACCATCTCAGGGATTTCGTGGGTTGTCCTCGACGTGAAATCCAATCAGGTAATAAAAAAATTTTTTTCTTGCGGTAACTTGTTATGGATTGTGTAAGCTGTGTTGGGGTTTCCCTTGTCGGACGAGAGAAAAATTTTCTCGAGGGCTCTGGGGGCGATACGGAGTTGGAACAATATATTGTTGATTTTTATCCTAACACTGTGTTCATTTATGCCGAATTAGCTTGGTTCCGTGCATAGATGTGTTGTGAATTCGGGCCTGTCTGGAGCGAACGAAGCGTTAAAACAACCCACCAACAAATCGCTTGTGACCAGTGAAGCTCAACAACTCGGGGACGCGTTAGAAAAGGTAACGTTACCAACAGTGTGTATTTAATCCATCATTTCCGTTCACCCTTTGTTCGATCAACAACAAGACACGAAAAATGTCGCTGTTAAAATACTCCGTTCTCTGTTGCCGCTGACGTTATCCCGTCTTCGGAAGAGCGCTTGCAGTCGACGGACGGAGGAGGCGAATTTTAAGACATACATGTCATGTAAAATTCATACATGTTTTATTGGCGTGTTGTGATCGCTTGAACAGTTCTCAATCACATAGACACAACGACAACCAGCAAAGGCCGAAGAAGTTTCACCAAATTTATTTTTTGATCGCTCGACGGGGTGGGATAGTACATGCTTTCTGTACATTCGGCATTTTAAATGTGATCTCTCCGGTAAACAGGGGAGACGGTCCGCACGACAGGAATTAGCCGCGAGTTTAATTCGAGACGGTGCCGTTCGAAATTTAATTCTCGAAAGAAGTAGAAATAAAATATCGATATAACCGCGCTGAAATGAAATATTAAAAAGGCAAACAGTTAATTCTAACAAGCTTTTATTCTTGAGGTTTATGGTGAAGTAAATATTTCCAAGATCAGAGATTGTATCGTTGGTTGCGGCACAAGGCCAAGTGGGAATGCGACGCAAGTGACGAACGTATGGGGCCTACTTTCTCTCGCCCGAGACAACACTGTGTATCGGATATTCAAAAAAATTTTGTAAATACTCTTATCTGGTCTTTTGTTGAACTCTCGTATACTTGTGTGGCCAAGCATATTCCCATAGTTTCCGAGTCGCTGGGCGCCTGTTTGTTATAAATCTCGGCTTTTATTTTTATATTCTCTCTTTACAGCCCCCCTACGCAAGAAATATTGTTTTCTCTTTCCCTGTCGTATACAATATTCATGATCCTTATCGGCAGTTCAGAAAGAAAGTGTTAATACAGGTCTCTCTATGGGCCAATGAAATGTTTGCTCGTACAAATTCGTGTTTGAATGATTTTTTGTCGTTCCCCCGGAAATGTAAGAAAACCCCGAGATTTAAAAGTGCTCACAAAGTCGGACAGAAATGTACCCAAGGTTTAAAAGTGAAGCTTCGCATCGGGTCAAGAACCGAAGAACAGCGCCATCGATCGTTCGATATCATGTGTTTCCCTCGCGATCGCGTCAAATCTCATCCCAAAATAAATCTCAAATCTTCACTGATTGTTTTTGGAGAGTCACGTAAATGCCCGTCCGCCTATTAGCCCAAAACAACCCTTTTCTGTCGCACGCGTGTGCTTACGTTAAGTCTTAATTGGCTAAATTCTCGTTAGAAAATTCAATCAAGTATTCTAGGTGGATTTTTTAATCGCTTGGTTTCCGCGTGCAAAAAAATTTGCATCGGCCCGAAACAGTAGTGTTCTCCATCGCTTGAAGGGGCGGCTGTATTGTTTTGGGAACAAAACCTAGACCCTTTTATTTTTCTTTGGTATTCTTTGAAGAACAACAAGAATGTGTGGACGTCCAGGTTCTTCTGTAAATATCGCACTGCGTGAAATTTCTTTGTCCCGGCCATTGTTTTGTGACTGCAATTGTGCCTAACAGGAAACCCCTTAAAATATGTCAACACGGAGTGATTGGCAGCTAGTATTGTCAGTATGAAGAGGCTATTGGTTGCTTGTGTCGATAGATCGGTGTTGTCTCATTGTATTTCTTTTGTTTTAAAATATGCTGAAGAACTTTGTGTGATGTGATTAATTTTTCACCGGTTAATTCTAATTTGGCACAGGTTTTGTTTTCTCAGAATGAATAAACCTAAATTTTATTGCCTTAAGACCTCATTTATGATTAATTTTTAGGAAATTGTTTTTCTGTTTTTAAGTTTCACGTGTCTCTATTTTGACATGTGCAAAACGTTTCTTCTGTCAATGATTGAAAACTTTGATAATGATATCCTTTAGCAAATGAATGATGGTCAGTTTGCAAATGCAAAGATTTTGCTTATTTCCATAATATGCAGACACCTCGTCTGTGAAAATAATTTTTCAACTCTGAATGAATAAAGACAGGGATTGTTTTACAATTGCTTTAAAATGCAAACTGGGTTCCCCTTTTGCTCCACTTACAACATTTCCATCAATACATAGACTTTCTATTGACATAAGAATAAAGAAGCTGTGATGAGTATTCAATCTTTCATTTGGCTTTAAAAAAACCTCTTGTTGTCTAGTATTCGTTGCAAATGAAATTTCTCATTACTCGGTTTACTAGCCAAAGCTGCTGTGAGAATCCCTCTTAAAATGTCACCATAGTAATTTTTGCCTAATATTTGAAATGTGTGAATAATAATAATAATAATAATTTTAATAATAATAATAATAATAATAATAATAATAAGAAAAAATTCTAAAGGAGGTTGTGGTTAATCACCTTACTGAAGTACACTTATGATGAACTATTGCAGTTTGTAGTTTCTCTTGTGATGTAAATTTTTATGTTCAACTGGAGACTGGTTGTTACTTGATTTTTCGTTAGGTCCTTGTGCAGTAGAACTGTGGTGTAACTAGTTCAATTCCATAGCTGTGTTTGGGGCATCTCAATCCAAACTGTTTCAGAAAGGTTTTCCCTCTCTACAGTTCTCATTGGAGTATTTTGATTTTAGCTTGTTAAGGGAGCTTTTCTCTCTGTTATCATTTGTTCTAATATTTCTGTGAATGGCCACCATTCATATGAATTTTCAACACCACTGTTTTTGATAATTTTTTTTGGGAAAAGTCTTTGGTGAATAGTGTCTTGGACCATGTGTGTTTTGTTGTGTGGATTGCATTCAATGGACTTCACTTCAATCCAAAGAAGGCAAATTTCTGCATTATGAGCATGTTCTAAAATGGGAAAGCTTTGGCATCTGATACCTCAGTCTTCCTCTCTGGTAGATAGATCTCTTACTAATGTCACCTTTACCAGGTTCACAAATGTAATAGCTGTGCAATATAGCTTTGCCAAGCTGTGATCCTATTGTAGTCCCCAAGTTGAGTCCCCATAGCAGAGATATAGTGGTGTTGTTGGCAACCATAAGGTTGTTCAGACAGATAAAACTGAAGAGGATTTGAATTTAATTAAAGGCTTCACACTGCCATTCATTATGCTGGCCTCAGGCATTTTCTGAAAGAGAGAGAGAGATGATAATATTGATCTTTTGTAGTATTCTGTTGATATCATCTATCCAGAACTGATTTGCTTCACCTTTGCTTTATTTGATCCACAGTCTTAGTGAGCTTGGTTTAATTGACACAATTGAACTAAAGAAAAAAAAGATAGTGAGAGTTAATCAGACCAGTGAAGTTTTTCAGAGATTTCAAAATTGCACAAAAGAAAGCTTCTGAATGCTAATTTTGATACAAATCTATACCCAAATACATAAGCAAACCACAATAGCAAAAAATTTGAGACTTTAGCCTTCTTCACGTGATAAAATAATATCATTTTCCTTTATCTACAGTTTGACAACTTTGTTGAGAAGACAGTGACATGTTCTGGGGAAAGATGGAATCTTGTGACAGATGGACAGTTGCCATTAAGACATTACCTCCATTTGGAAGCTAGTAGAAAGAAAACTAAGTTGTCTCAACATTTTTACAGCTTTTATGATCTCAGGAAAGAAGTCAGAAAGGCATTAAAGCATGATTCTGACTTTAGAAGCCTTGAAGAAGTGGCCTCACGTATCCTCACCCTATATTTAACCCAGTGTGCTTATGTTATAACCTTTTTCACTGTTAGTATTTTTGTTCATGAACCATATGCAAGTTCAAAATATCTTCTCCGTTAAAGATTACTTTCAGAGAAGAAGAGGTAGAAATAAAGGAAAGGTAAGTCCAAATTTCTAAACCCTCTCTCTTCATGGCTAAGATAGCCTTTGCCTCAGAGGCTGTTCAAAGCGGTTTTCCTGGGTTACATTTTTCAAGTTTTATATTGTTAGCGAAGGAGGCTATCTTTAAAATCTAACTTTTATCTATTTTTTTTTTTAATTAACTTTAATGAAGGGCAAAGTTAGGATAAATGCATCCTAGAGGAACTTTGGAGTTGACCCTTCTGTGATCCACATTTGAAAAAGGAATTAGGAATGGTAAACCAATAACCATCAATCAGCTTTAAGACACTGGGCGACAAAAGTTAAATAGAAAACTGACTTGTAAATGACCAAGACAAAGAAGGCTTGTTATCTTAAGGGACTAATAAGGAAGGTCAAGCCCTCTACTACAATGAGTTATTGTGACTGGTTAGGGCAATTCATCATTAAAAGACTCCTAGCATTTACACAGGAATGCTTTCAAATCAGTATTCCTTTTATCAGCTTAAATTGGAAATTTCCATGTCTGTTTTAGTCTGCATTTCAATTGGTTTCAGTGAACTGATATTAAGCTTAAATGTTTTTTTTTCCTCCATCAAGTAAAACTTTGTGCACAGTCAAATTTTTCTTTCATGTATTTGCGTGGGTAATTAACTATTTTTATGCTATTTGGAATAAATTAGCACAACTAAATTTCCCAAAGATAAGGTAAAGTGAAATGTGTGGTTACAAATGAGAAATTATGGAACTACTTGATAATGATTTGCTTTTAGATCCAACTTTTTGCACTCAATCTCAATTTTTGCTTTGAATTCAAACTTTCTGAAGTGCCCGGGTTAATTGATATGCTCTAATTTCATCAGCTCTAAAATTACAATTCATGGAGTTCCCTTGACATTGATCTCAGACTGTCAAATTGATGCTAATAACAACAGTCCAGCTGGTCTGGAACACTGTAAACTCATGGCAAGTGTGGTTCAGTTTCTTGTTACAGAAGGTAAGCTTGCAAAATCAATTAATCCAACATGGAAGAGAGAGAGAGAGAGAGAGAGAGAGCGATTATGAGGTGCAATGGCAGAATTTGGGTTTGCTAGGCAGTGAAGTGTGTCAGTGGAAACTCCTGCTTTTATGGGACCTTTGGAGATTAGAGTTTAAAGTAGAGGAACCTGATTATTTCCATTTTTTAAACTCATGGCAAGTGTGGTTCAGTATCTTGTTATAGAATGGAAGCTTCCTAAATTAATTAATGTAACATGGAAGAGAGAGAGAGAGAGAGAGAGGGGGGGTGTGTGCAGGGGAGGAATTTGTATTCTGCTAGGCAGTGAAGGGTGTTTGTGGAAACTCTTACTCTTTGGAGATTAAAGTAGAGGAACCTGATTATTTCTATTTTATTTTCACAACCCGCAATCCATACCATTTATGTATCACAAATATGCACTCACTGTAGGTCTTTTATTGTAATATTTTGCTGTTCTGTGTCTCATATTTCAGTTTTCAATTATATAGGAATGCTTGATTAAATATTTGTGGAATTTGCATTTTAACTTAGGTTAAGTATTATATTTACCCCTACAGACTTGGAAAATATATTTTGATACAGAGCAGAATATACTGTTTGTAATTATAGATATCCCTGCAGATCGTAGAAAATGTGTCCACTCTTAAAACTTTTCAAAAAAGATTAAAAATTAAAAGCAATCTCTGAGGACTTAAGCCTCAGAAAGGTTTTAAGTTCTGGGTAACTTTAATCCTGATCATAAAAGAGCTTTGTAAACACAAGTTAGAACGTTATCTTAGAAATATTTGAACTGTGTCATGGAGACACAAAAATGCCATGCACATATCAGCAAAATTTGCAGGAAGCATGCAACAGTGTTTATGTGTGGTCTGGGTCCAGCATTTTGTAGTTAAAGATTATCCTGTTTAACTTTTCTCATCATTGCTTTTTTGCTTGTGGTAAGAAAAAGTGGCATCAGTTGGAACAAGAAAAATTTCAGTCTATTGTAGAATGATCCTATGGTTGGCTAAGCTTGGCCCTCTCTTTTATTTGACAACTGAGTAATTTATTTGTCATTTAAAACACAAACCCAATCTCAGCATTATTTTAAGAACTTTGGAGACAATCACCTGAATTCCTGTTCATTATTTTTGATAAAATTTATCTTAACTCTCAATTTCTTTGCACATATTAAGTATTAGAGTAATTTAGTTTACTTGCAACACTAAATGAAAAGGACTAAACTTTCTTGATATATTCTCTTTACTGAAGAGAGCTATGACTGTATTATTTTAGGTCACAAATTCAAGGATCCAGAAAAGATCAGTTCCAAGTACGAGCCGGGAGCATGGTACGGTGCTTCTTTTCGAACAAAAAAGTTGGTACCTCGACAACATTTTTTAATCTTGCCCTAGTTACAATTTTATACTGTCAATACATGAAGGGATTCCAGTCAAATATATTTTCAAGAGTGCACAGCAGTTCATTTTTAATGACACTAATTCCTGTCCTTCCGACATCAAGAATTAATGAATTTTAGGAATTTTTATGATTCAATGTTTATATTTTTAAGGATTTTCATAAACAAAACATTAGGGAAATAATCAAACAAGAGAACTGGAGGACTACTGCACACATATCTTAACAAGGTGCTATGTGGCTTATCACTCAGAGGGGGTTTTTCTTTCTTTCTTTTTTTTTTTTTATACATTGTGAAAAACCTGTGATTGACTAATTCATGAGAAAATGCAGGGCAACTAGAAGGTAGAATTCTTCATTAAACCTCAGAAATTATGTGGATAAAATAACTTGAGACAGTCAGAAGCTTATACTATCAAATTTTAGGATCTTTGTGTCACACAATTTATTTTTCTGCCCATGCTTGCAAAATTTAGTTATAGAGCTATGAGAAGCAACAGCCACAAAGAACCACTGTGTTTTCAAGCTGGCTTAAATGACAACTTTTATTTTAATGTTGCTATCATTATCATTGTTATGCAGCCTAAGAAACAAAATAATCTGGAAAAGATGTTTTACCTGAAAGTTGATATCTTTGTGTCAATCTTTTGAAACCTCTCACCAGAATTAATAATATCTTCACTTCAATAATCTTTAACTACCAAATAATTGGACTAATCTGGTCTCTAGTGTTGTGCTTTCTTCCATCAGTGAAGATGCTTTAAAATGGCTGTAAAAAATGTTATCCAAAATGTGTAACTTTTTATTAATAGAGATTTAACTAGTAGACTTCTTGAAATTTCTACGAACAGTCTTGGGCTCGTACTTGATGATACAATTGTGAGAGCAAGGGGGCTTCCATGGCAAGCATCTGATCAGGATGTTGCAAATTTCTTTAAAGGACTAAATATCTTAAGGTTAGTACAGTGTTACTACTGAGCAAGAGGGAAAAAAAACATTGATAACCATTTCTTAATACAGTTACTGTTGATAGCTGAATTGATATTTATCAAATATTAGTTATTCAGCTCATTTAAAACTAACTCTCAAAATTTCTAAAACATGGACACCACAAGAAATCGTGATGTAAATGTAGAAAGTGTGGTCAATAATGCTATTTTATTACATCACTCGCAGTGCCCATGGGCAAGATGAAGTGAATCCTGAGTTCTGATTGGCTACTGGAGCAGGCAAGATGAGCCCACATTGATCACACACATGAAAAAAATTGAATTAGAATGACGTTTGTAATTCTTGGACAATTTCAGCAATGGAAACTCGAAAAGTGGCAGAAGATAGTCAAAACAAAGAAAACAGAATTGACTCTCATGAGTTTGTTGAGCTACAAACACAGTTAGCTTTCTTTCCTGGCTCTACAACTAAACAAGTCATTGTTAATTCTTAGTAAAGCAAAATCTTTTTGCTATATAATAAATCCTTTACTATTATTCTAAAAAAAAAATCAGTGAAGTTGTAAAATTGATTTGCTAGTTTTTTTTTTAATTGTTGTTAGAGGTGGGATAGCATTTTGTTTAAATGCCCAAGGAAGAAGAAATGGTGAAGCATTCATCAGGTTTGAGAAAGGGGAACACAGAGAATTTGCTTTGAAAAGACACAAACATCACCTTGGTACAAGATACATAGAGGTGAGAGGTGACAGACATGTATTGTTTCCTTCACATTACCAGTACATGTTTTTTTTTTTGCTTACATATTTTTAACATAGCATGTTCGTTGACCTTGCCAAAAGAGACCACGCATTTAGATAATCTTGAAATCTTCCTTGGAGGTTAATTTTGGACTTATTTCACAACATCATTAGGTCATGATAAGGATAAATTACTAAAGATAAAGCAAAATAAAGTGTAAAGGGAAAATTAAAGAACAAGCAATTTTAAAATCTAACTCGTAAACTTGAGACAATCAGTTAATGCGTCAAACTTGTGAGCCATCGTGTTTTAATTTGATCTTTATCAATATCAATGTCTTCGCATTAGTTCAGGTAAATGAACCCATTCTTAGACCTTATTTTCTGTTTCACTCTGTGTGACAAGCAATTTTTACTTTTTTTCATTCAGGTTTACAGAGCAACTGCACAAGATTTCCTAAAGATAGTGAAAGGTAATCTACTCTCAACTCCAGATTACTCAGATTCAATCTAAATCATACAGGTCGGGGCTGCACTGAGTTGAAAAAACCAAAACCACAATTATTCTCCAATGTCCTGAAGCAGCTTACCTCTATATTTTGTGAATAATGAAGGTAAGCCTTGAGGACCTTACACACTATCCAGGGGGAATTACAATGCTCCTGATCACTTCATGCTAAAGAAATGGGGACAAGGTCAGGTGTTGATTGGGCTACCAGGATTTAGAGCAGGTTTTATCATTTTTTATCACCTATTCTAACCATATCCATGACCCCAATGCTTACCCCATGACAACTACCCCACCTCTCTTGAAGTTCCTGTTTTGAAGTTCCTGTTTTTCCTCCTACTGTCTTAGGATTGGTTATGGATACATTTTAGTTGGGGAAGAGAAAAGCTTTTAATTTAGTGGGAAATTGGCATTTTTCTCTTACCTGAGGCCATCTGCTCATTCAGTTAAATGGTTATATTTTACTAACTTCCTTGTTGTGTTTATTCTCATCAACTGATTTTTTTAAACATATAGGTCCAGTTGACGTCACCCAGATTGCTGCTAACTTTGTATCAAACAAAGCTGATGTGATAATTAGAATGAGAGGACTTCCATTCAACTCAAAAGAGACTGATGTGGTGAGTGTTAAGGAGTGACATACTGACATCCTATACATGCAGTCTTGCTTTCTTGCATATTTTTTGACTATGCATTGATATATTTTGAATGTTTTTTCTCATAGATTGAATTTTTTGAGGATGCACCAGTATTCAAAAGTGACGAAGGAATCCTCATTGTTAGGAATAACTTTGGAAAGGCTACAGGAGATGCATTTGTTCTTTTTGAGACAGAGGAACATGGCCATGCAGCATTGAAGAAGCACAGATGCATGCTTGGCTCTCGTTATGTTGAGCTGTTCCGCAGTTCACAAAGTGAGGTTCAGCAAGTTCTGAACTCTTACAACAATCTCATGCATAATTTTCCACCAATCATGTTTCCACCCTTGCCACATCATCCTCCGTTTCACCCTCCCTTCTTAATTCCTGGGCTGGGCATAAATGGAATGAACACCAAAGACTGTCTGCGCTTACGAGGGCTGCCATTCTCTGCAACAGTACAAGATGTATTAGACTTCCTAAAAGAACACGCTGCATTTGTAGTTCCTGGTGGAGTTCACATGGTGTACAACACTCAGGTGAGATACTTTGTTTGGTGGTTTAGGGGGAAAAAAAAACAGTAATTTTTTGATAACTGTAGTTGCTGAAACAAGTAGCTGTTACATGAACTGTTTCTATCTCCATTCATATCAAGGGCTCATGAAGCATAAACAAAACTGCATTTTTAGAAACCTCATGGATGTTCCCTACCCTTGCTCCTGTATTGTGTTATGAGTGTCAAGCAATTCTAATGATCCACAGTTACATTGCCAATGAACTGAAATGGCAAACACAACAATTTATTGTGTTCTAAAATGTAGCAGATTAGTGTGGTTACCACTCCTAAGGTACAGAAACCAGGATAAATTCTTGAAGTAAGGGGCTTATAACTGGAGTACAAAGTTCCCCTCTGATATGACTGATATATTTTTTTCATCTTGATTATGTAAAGGGTCGCCCCTCTGGAGATGCATATGTCCAGTTAGTATCATCTGAATGTGCAAAATCTGCCACCACAGACCTGCACAGGCAACACATGGGAGAGCGATACATTGAAGTATTTCCCTGCTCAGGAGTAGATATTGCTGCTATTATAACCAGCAGTACAATGAATCAAAACAAGATGACGTCACTCAATAACACTCCATACAGCCCTCCAAGTTCATACCCAGTGACCAGTGGTGTAGTCACCAGCCCTAATGGAACACATATGAATGGACACACAGACACAATTGGAGCTTCTACATCAGCTTGTCGCAGTCCCACAGGATTGTATGTGCCTCATTCACCCACATACTTCAACTGTATCATGCCTCAAAATGGTATTGGAGGAGGAAATGTGAGTTACTATCCGCCTGCCAGTGCAAATTTTAGGATGCGAATGTCACCATATTTGCCTCAGCCTTATGAAATGATGCCTCTCTTTCAGGGATACCAGGTAAGCTACATTTTGCTTTCAATTCCTGTCTTTTTTTTTCAAAGCCAAGCCAGTAACATTAAGTCATTGCTGAGTGAGGCAACTTTTTTTGTTCATTATGGTTATTTTGTTCTCCTGGTTCATGCTCAGCTGTTAGTTTTACAAAGTTTGATGAATCTGCTGTGGGTTAAGTTGTTGCATCAACTGGATGTTCAAGTCTGTTTAGTCATCTAGTGAAAAACTGTTTGTGTGAGGCATTGTAGAATTTACCATACCAAAACAACACCCAATGCCTGCCAACTAGGCTTTAATAAAGTCTCTTTGGTATGGTGCATGAGGAACTGATCAGGAAACATAAGATGGAAAATTTTTCAACTGCAAAAGTTGAGAATCAAGGTGTAGGAGGTTGGTAGTTGTGTTGTTCCCAAGTTTCTTTAGTAACATCATTAATTTCGAACAGAGACTAATAAAACTGAACCTCTTTCATTTTCAGATTGCAGACTATGGCAGGTAATTCGAGCAGACTACCTTTTTGAGATCCTGCACTAAATCAAAGAAAAATCATAGAAAAGCCTGGTCCTATATATGACATGCTTCTTGCAAAAGATTAAATTAATGACAAGTTTCTTGAGTCAAACAGCTTTTGCTGCTGCTGGTGCTGAAGCATTTGCAATGTTTTTAGATGTATCTCTCTTAGTCACTGAGAAAACAAAGCTTGACATTATCATTAAGAACATTTGAGTGAGGAACCTTAATCGTTTTAGCTATAATATACATGCAATTATGCTGCTAGCTTTCAAAATTAGTGACATATTTAGTAAAATTAAGTATAAGAATGCTTTGGACAATCCCTCTGAAAGTTGGTGATAATTTTCACTTGACAATGTGTTCTATGTACTCTCTAAATTAACAATTAGATGATTTGACCAACATGCGAGTTTATTCTGAAAAGGAACTTGGGAGTCCAAAGGTCTGTTGTTGAAACCCTAACACTCTAAGAATAAACAGAGATAAAAAATTATTGTAATACATAAAAATACAAGCAACAATTTGTCAAGGAGAAGTAGATGCTATCAAAATTTTGATCATCAGATTTGATGATAAATGACAATTTCTGACACCAATGATTTTTAAAAGTAGTCAGGAGTTAATTTGCTGCAACATGTTCTGGATTTTGTGCAAAGATACCTTGACAGATAAGAAAAAAAGTACAAAGAAAAAAACGTACAGTACTAATTGAATTATGAGAGCAATATTGTATAATTACAATGAATTGTAGAAATATGTTCAGATACAAATATTATTTATTTTTTGCTGGATAGCCAGACTTCAGTTCAAAATACAATCTTTTTAGCCTTGATACATGGGAGAGTACTACCAAAACAACGAGACTGTTTTTCAGGAGACCTGTGTAACAGTTGCTGATAGCAACAAAGATGAACGTTTTTGGTCCTGTGACTAAAAAGATGCTAGCACAAAAGGCATATGCAGGTAATAACATTCCTTTGCATTTCTTTACCAGCACTTTTGCTGTCTGTCGTCATTTATCTGCTTTGGTTTAGTAATACAACAGATCCAGCTAAAGGTGTTCTATAATAATTCGTTTCTGCTAAAATTGTCTACACTTTTACCATGGATATAAGACCTTCCTTGTTTGTCTATGGAAAAGCTCGCCATCGTTTGATTCTCAGTAAAGCGAAGGAATGCAAAGGGATGTCATTAATGTCAGAAGTAGGCATATTGGTGTATACTGGGACGTTAGTAGGCAGAAGACAGTTCAGCGGTAATCAAGGCAGATTTGTCACCAGTCTTTCTCTTCTGTCCCTTCAACATGGCACACAGCAAACCGATCTTGTTCTTGATTGAATTGTTAGAACTCGTTACAAAAATCACCCAACAACCAAAAAGGAGACATAACATCCACAAAAAACACCTTTATTGGTGACTGCCTTTAGAATATATTGAATGTTTTCTAAAAACAAACATGCAAAAACCAGAAGGTGGAATTGCCATAGTAGCTGGCTCGGTGTAGAAAGTAGCTGCCGGAATTCGCCGGCTGCTGGCTTCTAATGAAATCCCTGAATGCACTCACTTGTGCTTAACTTTGAGGCATCATGGATAGATCACGTGGGCTTAAATGAAATGTTTCTCTCCAGCGGCAACTGTTGCAACTGTTTCACGCATCTCCGAAAAAAGTCTACCTGTTTCAGTAGTATATACTCCTTAACCTGATACACAAGAAATCACAATATCAGTGGTAAACAGTGCTAGACCTTTGTGCATCAAATAATGATTCTGACAAAAATTAATAGTTAATGCATCAAGTCACTGAAAGATGTCAGAAGAAGAAAACACTTCGAGGCTGAAAAGGCTTATTTGGCTGTCAGTGAAATGCTGTAAATTAGAGCATGATGTACCCTGGCTGTACATGTATGTAATTAGTATCAATTTATGCTTGATAGATAATCTCATTGCATTTAGTTTTTAAGAACTTTTTATACTAGTTAATAGTCTGAGTCAATGAAAGATGAATATGCCATTGGCTTGTTGTACATTGTAATTGAGAAGTTTGATTGACTGAATATTTATGTTAATTCCACATTCTATCATGTGGAGGACTCTAACCATTTACACCTTGACATGAATGTGTAAAAATTCTCCAACATGAGCTGAAAGTTTGTTACTGACAGAACAAGTTGGTAGATAATTTCATTGTTTTAATGTATTTAAATTTGATCATTAGTATGTATTTGTTATTATTTAGTAACCAACCAATCAAATTTGTATTTTTAGGAAAAAATCATAGTTTAGTTTTTAGAGCTTAAATGTAAATGGTTGGATCCTAAAATTAACATCAATTAAGAGTGGATATGATCTGTGATGATAAAGGAAAAAGTTGCTGGTTAAAATGAATCATTCTCATTCAAGGCTAGGTCACATTTTTGCAAACCAATTTTTTCAACATTTATTTGTCTCTAAACATACAATATTTATGGGCATTGTGTTCAAAACTAGCCATATTGTTTTTATTTACATGACAACTAATAATGTATGACAAATAATTGTTCTTAGCCAGGCAATGCAAGAGACGCTGCTCTCAAAGAGTCTAACAACCAGTACTTGTCAATCAGAGCAAATGTTAAAATATATTAATCAAATCCCAAGTTTGACAGTTAAGAAAATAAAAATATTATTTTAACTAAGAGAAGCCTAAGTATGACAATACAAAAGCCAGGAAAGACCACTTGAAAATGACATTTTTAACGCATGAGGCAAAGCCAGAGCATAATTTAATTATTACCATTCATCAAGTTGCTCTAATTATATTTTCAGAATGTGTCATTGGTATGTGAGAATATATGCCACTGTCACTAAATGTATTTCTTGAATGTTTACAAATTGGTGTGATTTTGTTACCAAGAATATCTCAATTAACAATGTGGACTTGTTAGACAGTGAAATATACCATTACATGAACAAAATTTCAGGTCCATTTATCTTAATTTATCTATGATAGAACAAGTATTGTTCATGGCAGTGCCATGAATCAGTGCAAGACACTAACACTAATTATTAGAACCTTTGTCTCTGTTTTTTTTTTTTTTAATATAGAATGAATATTCTTGATGGGATATTTTTGGTAACAAAGAGACTAAAATACAGATAATTATTTTAGCTATATTTTTAAACATACTAAAATAAGTAACCAAACTCCGGTGTAAAATAGAAGAAAACTTGTTGATGTTTCCCTTACAGACAGTCATTGCAGTCGCACATCTCTTCATGTTCTTTTTTCTATGTATGATTTTTAGCTTAATCAAAAACATGCATAGGTCAGTAAACTGTTCTTATAACCTGGAAATGACTGCACTTTCTTGAAAATAAAAAAGTGAACCTTGTTAGATGACAAGATTCTGATTTGAAATGAATTTAGTAGTGCAATAATATGGAAAATCCTTCGTCTGTGTGTGGTTTACCCAAAGGCAGGAAGTAGCATGTCCTAGTCAGGGGTATAAAGGTAATTTTTCAGAAGTGGGTTCTTTACACTTGTCTTGTGTCTTACTAGCATAAATGCACTTCCAATTACCTTTAATATCATAAATTCTAACTCTGACCTCATTTCATAAATTATAACTCTCACCTTACAAAAAGGAGGTGAAATGCACCCCAATTCCCCCCCCCCCTCCCCCCCAACCTTAGCCAAATTCGGGGAAATTATCAATGCATTAGATTCAAAGCCCAGAAAGGAACAGGGTTTGAGTCACTTACCATTGGCAGCTTGAAGATGGCCTTATAGATTGCCCCATTGGCTGAAGGATGAAACACTGTCCCTATATGATAACTTGAAGACTAATGAAAGTCTTTCTCTGTTTGTGTTAGCCTTATATGCAAACATTCTTGGGCTTATCATGCAATCATTCCTCCACAAAAAGACCTGCAAATGGGGAGGAATCATTGAGTTACCAGCCTAACAACGTCTGCATAAGGGACTATTTTTCTGTCAATAGTTGTGTAAAATGTACCTGTAATTCTCTCCTGTAATTCTCTCCTCTGCAATTCACCCAAGTCCTTCATATGTCTCTGGAGTACAGGGACTTGGGCAGTATGTATGTATGTATGTATTTATGAATACTTATACAGGGTAGCCCAGTTTAGCGATAGCTAGTTTAAATGGGGCCCTGTGAACACCCTCCCATCCCACCCCAGGAGAAGACATCCACCACACAGCAACCAAGTGCGTGGGAAATTAACATCTCCTACCCCTAACCCTGAAGGAGACGGGGCCTATGGTTTATTCGTCGTTATACAAGAAGACTAGAATATCTATCCATTTCTTGATATTATAGAAAAGTAGCAAATTCTCCTCAGCGAGTATTGGTCTGGCTAGGGCTTGAACCCTCGACCTCCCACACAACACACTCCAGCGCTTTAACCAATTGAGCTAACCAGGGGGTGGTCAAACAACTTATCAGCATTTAACTTAAGTTTTTAGTAATAAACCAACCAACAATAAATGGCATCAGATAGTTTACTTTGGAACCTCTGCTTAGTCTGCCTTCTCTGCAAGTAAAGGAGGAAGAGTTTCACCAGCAGGACCCTGAAAATGGAACCTGATAAAAAGCAAAAGCAGATACCCCTTAGCAACCATGTCTATCTGTAAGTTATGGACCAAAATTATGGGATTATGAGTTGATCAAAAACTAAATTCTCAGAACTAAAATTATAAGTAATGTATGGCAGACAGTAGGGAGAATTACAAAAGAGATCTTGAGAGTTCATGGGTTACGTTAACTAGCAAAAAAGAGCTCACTTCAAGTTTGGGGAATCTACATGGAAGGAGTTCTTTTCCATCCATTGCAATTAGGTAAGAAAGATTTTTTTCTAGCATCTGACCTGAAGAAGGAAAATGACAGATGAGAAAGAAGTACAAATTTATGCACCTGAATTCTCCAGTGCATGAAGTCTTTTCCATGTTAAATTCTGCAACTGGGACTCCTCTGGCTGCCAACATTGGAGCAAATCCTGCTGCTGGGTAAACCACAGATGATGTACCAACCTGAAAAAGATGATGATTACATCCATTTGGGAAGAAATGGCAGGAGCTAGCAGATTCTTTTCTGGCATAAATTAGATTTTATCATCGGTCAAAATAGATTGGTGGGGTAGAGGAAACAAAGATTTTTGGGGGTGATGTGGGAGAGAGAGGAAAGGGACTTTTGAGGGAGAGGGGAAAGGGAAGGACATTGCAATAAGAGTAACTGACTTGAGCGTGGATATGGTGAACTCATGTTTAAGGGGCAGGAGAGAGGAAAAAGAATTTTTGGGGGTGGGACAGAGGGGAAAGGGACTTTTGAGGGAGAGGAGGAAGGGAAGGACATTGCAATAAGAGTAACTGACATGAGCGTGGATGTGGTGAACTCATGTTTAAGGGGCAGGAGAGAGGAAAAAGAATTTTTGGGGGTGGGACAGAGGGGAAAGGGACTTTTGAGGGAGAGGAGAAAGGGAAGGACATTGCAATAAGAGTAACTGATATGAGTGTGGGTATGGTGAACTTATGTTTAAGGGGTGGGAGAGAGAAAAAAGAATTTTTGGGGGTGGCACAGAGGGGAAAGGGACTTTTGAGGGAGAGGGGGAAAGGGAGGACAGTGTAATGACAGTATCTGACCTGAGCCTAGTGTAATTGCCAAGATTCAAGAGGCTGCAGCTTACTCAAATCCTCAACAACTATAGCGGTGGTGTGGTGTGAGGTGACAATATTCAAACTCTACTTGGCAGATTCAAACTGATTTAAAGGCAGATCAAAGTTCAAGGGTCTAGATCAATTGGTACTGTTTGACATAAAGGGTCATGAAGATAGCCAAGAGCAAAGATCATTGGCCTTAGTAGGAGCAGCAGTAGAAAAAATAGTAGTGGCCGAAGGTGTAGATTAAGTTGTCAGATTGAACTGAAATATGATAACTATTTTTTAATTATTAAAAAATAGTATCTAACCTAGATAATGCTAAAAAAAATGGTATGACTCTTAAGAGACCTAGAACAATGATAAACTGGTAAACTCCTAGTGTGAAATGAAAAGGCACGATAACTCTCTTGTCATATAACTCATTATCAACCAAAGATATACACAACAGTCTAGTACTAAAAACAGAGACCAAGGAAATGCTGATGAATCTGTGACTTCATTAACAACAATAACAAAAAAATAGACTTACATACTTTGGTTGACAATTTGCACCCAAAAATAGCAGACACTTGAGATAGCAGTAGCTTGGATCCTTTTGATTGTAGCAAAGGTAGTGGTGTAGCTTCAACTAACTTCTCTTACTAACTATACTATATTATGTCGCTTGTTGCACCTTTACTGGCTATGATGAGTGAAGAAAGTTGAGGGATTGTTAAAAAAAAAGTGGTGCCCACAATAAGAAGTATTTCCTGGGCAGTAAAGATTCCTTTTCCAGGAAATCTTGATTTTTACTAACGCCTTCATTTTAGATCACATATTTGACTACATAATACCTAAATATAAATCAAAAGGAAGTTTATAGGAAATTAGTAAAATAAGTGGTTAAAAATTAATGTTCTGTATTTCAGAAGTCCTTACCAAAAGACACATATCACACTTTTCCAAAGCGTCATTTGTAGCTTTCAATACATTATGGTCCAGATTTTCTCCAAACCACACCACATGAGGACGGGCCAGTTGTCCACAGTTGGGCTGGACACACCTGAATTGAAAGTGATATTAATCAAATAGATCTATTAGGCATTCGTTACCTACTTTTAATTACTAACACAGCAGTGTACTTTTAAACTTTCTGAACACCCTAAGGGTGTTTGTGTTTGTGTACAGCAGCATTATTGCCCGGTTGTGTTCAGAGCAGTAAGAAAGAATCTTACAATTTGAGAAAGCTGCTGTATAAAATTATAACACTAATAATAACTCCTCACAACATGTATTGCATTTGATTCAAGCACAGGAAGAAAGTCTACCTTGCTCATGCATTGCCCAATGTGGAAGGGATAAATTTAACAACATGTTCATCATTGTTACTTTTGCAATTGCCTTCACATTTGCAGCATTTTGTCAAAATACTGTACTATAGTAATAAAAAGCTTATAACGTAAATTTAATGAGGAATCTGCTATTACTGCTTTATTTTTAGAGGTCAGAATGTACATCATTGTTACTTTTAACATCATTGTTACTTTCGCAATTGCCTTCACATTTGCAGCATTTTGTCAAAATACTGTACTGTAGTAATAAAAAGCTTATAACGTAAATTTAATGAGGAATCTGCTATTACTGCTTTATTTTTAGAGGTCAGAATGTGACCTATTAGGATTAGTATTGATAAACTGAACATCCAGGTGACTACTGTAAAGAATTTTTGACATTATAACTTGAAAAGAGTGTGAATTAAAGGATATATTACTGACAACATCTTAAGAATATAAAAACCTGAAAAGTATAGGCTGGACTACATTGATGAAATGTTAACTTTCTCACCTGGGTAAATCTTTTTCTGGAATTTTTGCATCCTGGGCATCAGGATCTGGGGCTCTGAAATCATTTACATTACTTAACAATGATTAACAAATACAAAGCCAGTGTGAAACTAAAAGATGTACTGGTAAATGTACAGCCAATACAGCCAGTTGAAAAAGAATCAATGAATTTTTTCCTAGTTACATTTTAAGAGCATGAGAAACTATTTTGGCTAAGAAAAAAGAAAAAAAGTCTTGCTGTTTTCCACATTTTCCATTCTGCCTGTCAGTGCACCAAGATGTTGGTGTGAAATGAGTGGTAAGGTAAATAAATTAAATTATGAAATAGTTCAATATTTGCAAAAGAAGAAAGGACTTTCTGTAAACTCTCTGTGAGTCCGCACCATGATTATTATTGTAGTACTCTCTGGACGAGTCCTTAATAAATAATAAATAAAATAAATGACTGCTCATTATCTGCTCAGGCTTTAGTAATATAAACTATACATTAATCTTTGGACTCCAAAGAGTCACTAGCATCTAATTTCTCCTTACAATATCACCCCTGAAGCTCATTAATTATTAAGGTCAGGAGAATAAAGGAATTGATCACCAACTAGAGAAGCTGTTGATTGTAAAACAAACTCTCCCAGTCAGCACCTTAAGAAATGTATAGAGAACAATATGGAGAAAATGCAGGCTGAGGTTAGGCTATAAGAGTCAAGACATCACAACTTGTGACGCGACATTTTCATCTGCTAATAGTTGCTTTAAATTAGATGTCCTACTGTGGTGTCCTGTGGACATCAGGGACTATACTCAGTGGTCAGGTGACCAAGAGAGTGTGCATGTATGTGAGAAAGAGCGGGAGTTCGAAGGGTGACGGTGTGCTGTTCGAGTTATTGACCTTAGTGGCTACTAGGAATAATACACCTACCCTTTCCCAGCTAAAGCTTGTACAATTGGACTGTTCCTGTTTTCTGTTACATGTCCACATACAGTACATCTTGTCTTAAACAGTGCCCCTGGAAATATGTAATAACAATGTCAGTTGTAGTTCCTGTTGAGGGGTACTGGGAAAATTATTAGGTCATTGAGAGGGTAAATAAAATAAAATACATAGAAATATTAGTTCCAGAAATATTAGGTCATTGAGAGGGCAAATATAATAAAATACATATATAGCTTTGAATTCTGTGATTTTACCGAAGAAAAAAAGAAAACCCCTACCGTGAAGTTCTATTACTTCTTTCGTCCCTGCAGCCTGATGTAATCCATCAATATTCTGTGTTATTACGGCGACATTTCTTCCTTGATCTGGAAACTTTTTCTGCAATTCTGCAATAGCATAATGCGCCTTGTTTGGTTGTTTTGTGAGAACAACTTCTCGCCTGTAACTGTAAAACTCCCATACTAATGACGGATTTCTGCGAAATGCTTCGAGAGTCGCCAGATCTTGAGCTCTAAAAGTTCTCCAAAGACCACCGGAGCCTCGAAATGTAGGAACTCCACTCTCCGCACTAGCGCCTGCTCCAGTTAAAACAACAACGTTCTTTGCCTTTTGGAGCAGATCGCGGAACTCTGCCTTGTTATTGCTGGTGGTATGAAAATAGCTTTCAAGCATAGTAATGTTTCGGAAGGTTTTAAAAGCTCTGGAGCATTGACCTACACCTGTTTTAAAGTTCCTAAACACAATCATCAGCGTTTTTCAAGTCTTCTTCCTGAAAACGAAGAGATGACAGGCATTACCAAAACTGATTGGAGATTGGCACTACTGTTTCTAGTCCCTTTCTGTTGAACGTGGTGAAGTCAAAATGGCGGGTCATTTTTCAGGTAAAGTCACAGATTTTCAGATGACAACAGGACTGTTATGTACCGTATAATCCCTTGGACTCCAAAATTACGGACTCTCTTTGTAAAACTCAGGCTGTTGTCTGTCAAAATAGAAGTTTAGCGGTAGTATATATTTATTTGATATGTTTTGGAACACGTGTAACTTGTTTACAACCATCATGTGAACCATTTCATGTCCACACAAGGAAATTCTCGTATAAATTATTGGATTATCGGCCATCCAGACGTCTTTTTTAAACTATTAGTTAGTCAACCAGCTCTATTTTTAACGTTTTACATCATGGAGGGGGAAAAGGGGTGACCCAGTCTGCCAAATTTTCATGAATTTCTGTTCAAACGTACGTAATGAGTACGCGTTCTTCATTACATTACAATGCAGACCAGTTTCCTAGATTATATTCCATCGTTTGGAATTTTTTTTTTTCAAGGCGAGACACATTTCATGTTGCAGTGTCAGCCTGCAACTTCAAAAGCTTTCAAAATAGGAAGCGGTTGTTTAATGCCTTCTGGTTGTTTTAAGCAATCTCAATCTTAGCTATACGTACCTGTAGCAGAGATTTTCCGCAACATGCAAACAGATATCATCTATTTTCCCTTTTTTTGTTTTGTTTTGTAGAGTTTGGTCTACTGCCTGAAATTTGCAAAGCAGTTGAGGACATGGGATGGCTGTAAGCATACAATAATCTTATGATTTCAAGTGTATTTTGAGCTTGAGATGTTCTGCAGGTTTTTATCTAAACCATGGATAACTTCATATCAACACAATCAAATTTTTCTCTACTGTTTAGTCTTCCAACAGATGTACAAGCTGAAGCCATTCCTCTTATTCTTGGTGGTGGAGACGTTCTTATGGTGAGAACAAATTTGCACTTATTCTGTTGTCTGATTTTTTTTGTTTGTGCAATTTATTGATTTAACTGAACTGTCAGGAATACTTGACAAGAATAAATCTCAAGAGATGTAGACTTCTTTATCTCCTGTGAGGTAATTATTAGCTCCACATGAAGCTGGTCCTGGCACTCTAAAGGCTTGTACTGTTTTATTTCTTATAATTAATTAATTTGTTGTTCATTTTGAACCTCCAAAAACACTTTGCTTTCTTTGCAGGCAGCAGAAACTGGACGTGGAAAAACTGGAGTATGAGTTCACTGTTTCTTTTGAATAAATAAAGTTTCTTAGATATTTGTTAGAAAATGTTCACAATAAAAATTTCAAATGAGGTTTGGAAGGCATATATATTCCCTGTTCAACAATATACTGAAGTACCAGTGAGAGTCTTGTACACCTGACAAAATGGTTTGGATACCAGTATGGACAATAGCACATGTTTGGTATGAATTTTGCCATCTTTACTCATCATCGTCAGTTTGTGCATCTGTTTAATTTTTTTGTTTTCGTGGTGATCTTTCCAATTCTGAGCCATTCTTATCACACCTTCATTTATTAAGTGTCTCTGCAGTTTTTCTTTGTAAACTGACTGATTTTTTTTCTTCAGTTCAGTGGGTTAATTGTTATAAGGCTGTTTTGTATGTCACAATTGTTAACTCAAAATGTTGGATGTATGAAAGTAATCCGCCTTTGATTTCCTTTCAGGCCTTTTCCTTGCCTGTGATTCAGATTGTACATGAGACAATAAGAGAAGCACGAAGTGGCCGTAAGAGTACCAAACCAACATCTGCTGCCCCACCAGATGGTATGGACTCTACTCTCGCCACACTTCTAACTAGGAAAAGACAACATTAGTTAGATTAAGGATAACAGACGGTGGTTATTTTGTACATGCAGCAATGTCAATAGAAACCAATAACCAATGATAGCAATGAAATTTGTTTATTTTATTCAAAATTCTGTTGACAATGTTGGTGTTAGCATCTCTTATCAAGCTAAAGAATTTTATAACGTAACCAAAGTAAAGCGCGCGCTCTGATTGGTCAATTTAGCGTCCCCCATTTGCCCATTGGTGTACGCTGCTGACGTGAGCAAATGCAAAGACTATTTTTCCGCGCGAGTGCTTGTTTTTTCTGGTCGCGTGAGGTTTGTTAAATAAAAGGAACTCTTTAGCTTCAATGTATCAATGTTATGTTATAAAACAAATGGTAAACACCACAGCGTACACTATTGAGTTATGGATGCACGCAGGAGGTTTGCTAAGCACTCAAGAAGCTAGAGTCGCTCTCGGCTATTGCCTCGAGTGACTCTTACGCTTCTTTCGTGCTTAGCAACCTCCTGCGTGCATCAATAACTCAATACTGTACGCTGTGGTGTTTACCATTTGTTAATTTCACTTGATTCTTGCGGAACTGTAAATCAGATGTATTTATAGAAGTTTAAGATCAAAAGAAGCCAGTGAACACAAAAACCTGACACAATTAAATGTTCAGTTACAAGTTATTCTATACATCTTGCTATAAATAACAGTCCATTTCCATTATTATGATTTATGCCTTGTTTCACATGAAATTACGATTAACACACTCACTTGACTACTTGACATAACTATAGCTCAAAATACATGCAAATGCAATCTAACACACTGAACAAAAAAACTAATTAAAAATAAATCTACTTCTAAAAATTGTTAAAACTTTTTTAAATGCCAAAAAATTATATTTAGTCTTAAGCTCTAATTTGTGTTACCTGACATTATGTATATATACACACTGATTGAGATTTTCCAACTGATTTTGTTAGCAATTTTGTTTTGCCTTCGTTAATAGTACCAACCAAGTTCAAAATGAATGTGTATGATAGAGATCAGGAGTTTGGTGAGTACCCATCGATCTGAGAAATTTTGGCTACTGTAGAGAATATGAGAAGTTTTTACATCTAGTAATTGAATACTTCAGATGTTGCTTATTGACTGTCACTCCTAAGATCTCTTTGGTACTTCTTCTCAGTGCAATTCTCCTTAGTCCAATTTTGTTATCTTTAGACCATCACAAAAGATGCTTAATTATCAGATTAATATAAGGATATACAATAATGCCTCAAATAGTTATACTTTTCTTGAATGTAAAGATTATGTAAAGTTCCTAGTTGTGCTCATTGATAAAAACTTAACTTGGAAATAATTTATCATACGGACTACATTGCCCCTAAAATTAGCAGGGTTGTTGGAATTATATCATGTTTAAGGCACTCTGTTCCTCTGAATACTTTAATCCAAATTTACCGTTCTCTGATTTTCCCATGTACATACTACAGAATTGCTGCCAGGGGCCAAGCTGCACAGGTCTATCTGAGGAAGGTTTTTATCTTACAAAAACGAGCTCTTCGGCTAATGTTCTTTGTTGGAAACAGATCTCATGCTGTTCCCTTGTTTGTCTCTGCTAATGTCTTACCCCTCAATATGCTTTATTTTGAAACAGTATGTTCTTTTATGCAGGACATATCTACCAATTCTGTGCCTCAGAATATCTGTGATCTTTTTACTTATTCATCTGATGTTCATACACACAACAGTAGATTTTCTCATGCTGGTAATTTATATATTAATAAATCAAGACTGAGAATTCAACTTAATTCGTTTTCCATTTTCGGAGCTAGACTGTGGAATTTCCCAAGGCCTGACCTGTGTAAACTTAGAAAAAAACCTTTCAAAAATAAAATTCATCAATTTTTACTTGTGGTACTTGGTATTGAGGATGATTATGTTGATGTCTCTACGTTAATGTTCAAAATTACTACTTATCATTAATTAAACTCTAGCAGCTATTATTATTATTATTTTCTTATGTTCTATGTCTTATTATAGGTTCTTGCTCTGCTAATGTAAATCCTAGCTATTTGTGAATATATGTGTAGACCTATCTCTATCTATTTATTTACTTGATTTTAATATTGATGTATTTTGCTAAATTTTATTGAAAGTTATGCAATCTGCCTCAATTAGCCTTGCTACATGCGGGTTGTATAAATTTATAAATCTGTTAAATTTGTTTGTTATAATAAATAAAGGTGTGTGTATAAATAGTGTCTGCCATACAGTTCTTATGATGTTAGTTTGGAGAAATTTGTAGTTTGATCAACTACATTGTAATCCACTAACTTATGTTTTTTCTTAAAGTCTATTCTCACCACTTGTCTGCATTATATTGTACTGATATTGGAAGGATAAAATTCTGTCTTACTCACTTGTGGGAGTTATGTAAAGGGTTTACTGCTTACAACACATGTAATCACGAAGGTGCGCTATATAAAGAAGTCTTCCCTGGGAAGACCTAGGCTCACTTGTCACTCACCGTTGACATGTGCGGGTCAAATTTAAATGCTGGTAGACAAACAAAAGGAGCTAATGAGATATCTATTGTTTACTTCCACCAGCATGGTGGCAATGATGTAACATGCGAACCACCTACTTCGCTCTCAAAATTACCGCCACAAATAAAGACAGTCTCCATTGGAGAAAGGAAATACAAATCGCAAAAATTCTTATATTGTGATGAAGACAAAAAACATTTTGAGGAATGCGCCTGCTTATCACTGCTTTGGATTAGCTATATAGCTCAAGCTGACTTGACTCTAAGAGTTCTACATCACATGATGGTTGATTGACAAATGGTCCAATGGGACCTAAGGCACCTCCTTTTATAGCGCACCTTCGTGTTTAAGATTAATTTGCATTAAATTACGTTCTGTAATGTATGTTCAAAAAAAATTATAGGGTAAGGCAATTAAATGTTTATTATGTGACTGAAGCACAATTTTGATGTAAAGGAAACTGTTGTCATGCTGTATAAACTAGCAAGAAAAATAAGATTTTTTGTGTGAAGTTCAGAAAGCTGAAGCGAGTGTCTTGAAGTTCGTCACTGTCACCTGATACTTACCAAAGTTACTGTATTTCAAGAAGCTTTTTCTAACTCCTGTGGTTTTATATTTATAGCTATTGATGATAAGGGTTATCTGTGTCAGAGTCGCAATCATTTTAAGTGGCAAGGATGCCGTTCTACTTTGGGAGTCAACAAAGGTTTGCATGAGTGTGGATAATTTGATTAGGATGAGCCAATTTTTTAGCTTTTATTTTCCTCAAATAAAAGCTGTTCAAACGAATTGGGAAGTTGCAAGTGGTTAAAACTTTCCTGTTTTCAGTTAGCATCTGGCAATTGCATGTGATGATTCCTGACATACTGAAGACAAATATCTTTTCAGTTCTTTGTAATGATAGCTGGCATTTCACATTAAATTTGTTTGTTTGAATTGATGGATGCATCTCTGAACATCTGCCATGTCATGACAATGACTTTCATTGTTTTCTATCATCTCAGGAATGTATTATTATGAAACAACTGTCACAGATGAAGGGCTCTGTCGTGTGGGATGGGCAACAGACCTGGCTTCATTGGATCTTGGTAAGATGGTTGTTAATTGACTGTCTTATTAAGAAAATTAAAAATAATATTATTATTGGAATAAGGGAAGTGTACATTTTGGAGCTCCATGTAGTTGTGTCATTGGAAAGTAGGATAGTACAGTGGTATGATCACTTGAATCCCATCTCCAAAGCCTGGGTTTAATTTCAGACCTGACTTTACCTAAATGTGGGGTGAGGTTTGTTGTTGTTCCTTGTTCTTGTATCTGGGGTTTTACTTAAAGTTCTCTGATTTTTCATCCCTCAACAAAAATCAACACCACAGTTAAATTACACTTCCACCTGGAATAAATGGACTAAGAACTTATATGTCGGTGCACCACTTTTAAGGTGATTCCTCAGTATTGCATTGCGCATCCTGTATTGAACACCAAAATCACGTAATCAGGTGAATAAGTGTGCACTTTCCAAGAACACCGTATTGTTTTTCAATCAATAGACCAGTTTAAAAGGTACGATGGTCTTAAGCTCTTGCATGAGCAGGGTGACCTATATTTTTTATTGCTTAATTTTGGTGTACAAATTATCCCTCTTAAATAGGAGAAATTGGAAAAAAAATTATCAAAGGGGATAGTTAGAAGTGTGCACAAAGCCTGTTACTAGATGATACAAGTTATGATTTTGAAAGTAATGACTCAAGAAATGTTAGAGTCAATGTCATTTAAAATTGCATAATGTTTTCACAAATTTCATATCAAATTGTTCCATTTGCTTCAGACTTTCTACCAGTCAACTTCTTTCAAGTGTTACTTTAAAAACCCTTGCTTCCACCTACTGCATAATTTACCATAAATCAATGAAATTATACACATGATTAGTGCCATAAATGGCAGGGGTAAAACTGGCCCACCATATCTCTTAAACAAGTGCAGTGACCTGTCTCTTTTATTGTGTTTTTTGAAACAGATATTGGTAGGGAACATTTAAGGAAAGTTTAAAACAATTTGCTTGATAACTTTTTTTTTGAGGAATCACTTTAAATCAAGTACTTTTATTATTTTAGGTAGTCATGCAGCTAGGGTTATAGTTAATACCAACAAGTTGAGTGCACATGAAGATGATAAAGGCACACATATTTCCAAAATCTTGCTTACTTACTATTTGAATGGTTTCTAGATCTGGATTTGTAAATTGACTTTGGTTTGTTTGTTTGTCTCCAGGGACTGACAAACAGGGGTATGGATTTGGAGGCACAGGGAAGAAGTCATTTGGAAAGCAGTTTGACACTTATGGGGAGCCATTTGGGATTAATGACACACTTGGATGCTATATTGATCTTGATAATGGTTCTGTAAAATATAGCAAAAACGGTACTTGTTATTTTTTGATTTTTTTTTTCTTTTTTTGATTCTCAAGTATATGATTTACTGATAATTGCAGTTTATTTTTATCTGCTTTTAATTTTTTTTAACTGTGGCAGGAGTGGATTTTGGGGAGGCATTTGAAATTAGTCAAAATCTTCAAGGAAGCACCTTTTTTGCAGCAGTTGTGTTAAAGGTAACTAAATAAAAAAAATCACCACTCATGAATATCTAGATGACATGACTTGTTATTCATATTATGTTGTTAGCCCTTTATATTAAGCTGAACAAGACTATACAAGACTAGAGTATAATGAAATACATTGATTAATTAATAAGAGGTGTTCATCATATGAAATATCTAAAATCAAGAGGGGCTTGAGATTTTCGCCCTCGCAATTTTGGCTATTTATTAGATCTGCTTTTTGATTTTTGTGCCAGAATACTTCGGCTTTGCAGTTCTAGTGTTAATTGTAGTTTTCAGCATTTTTTTTTTTTGGTATTTTTTAGGTATTTTTTATTTATTTATTTTTTTGGCATTAGTAATAGTAATCAAAGTTTAATGTCTTTACATGGGGCATGGTTACCCATATTGCCCGAGCCAGAGGCTTAGGTATGAAACGCAAGACAA